GTAGTTGGTCTTACTGTGGTTAACATGACGTCATGTCACATGGCTAATGGTAAAGGATGTCATAAGGTTGTTTATCTGGATATATCTGGGATACTGTAAGAATATAGTGTGATAAGAGGTCGATTGATATTGCAGATAACAGAGGAAGGATACAAATACATAGCCAGGGGCTGTTCTAACCTCAATACACTTATCCTTAACGATCTACCAAACCTAAGAGATGAATGTGTACAGGTAACTTTAAGGAATTTAGAATAAGAGCTATCTTTTTATGAGAAGAACAGCTAATATTGCTGGGTTACTTCATTTGACTTCAACGACACTAGAGGAAAACGTTTGCGCRTGTGTGCAATTCAGCACGTTTTCTAAGTTTKAGTGAGAAAATAAATGTTTGTTTTCTCCAAGTATACAAAAAAGTTCGCGAGTATACTTTTGTAAGACCAAGATACTGTATTAACAAACACAATATGAAAGAATYAGYCTTAAGTTTCAAGCATGGACACTWAGTTTTGGCATTTTGTGAAGTCCAATTTATCAGGCATGTTTGARAGTCAAATTTACATATGATTTGACTAATKTGYATAMGGATTCAGAGCATGCGCAGACGTTTTTCGCTCGTGTCGACTTCAACAGATAACACTGACACCATGAGATAAGCCATTCCAAGCAGAAGGAAAAACTTGGTTGATTTGKCATTGCATTGTCAGACGGTTTTTATGGGACAAGATGGCTTTTATCTCATCTCATAAGACTGTCCAAAAATTCACTGCAAGCAATCTCGTCCAAGTTTTTCTCCTCAACCTTAGAATGGCTAATATCACAGTATGTCCCACACCTTGTGTGCAATTCTTCATGGGATAGCTTAAGTAGGTTTGTCACTGCAGTGTTTCTCTCTTTGTCTGGTGACCTGCTTCATGCTCCTCGTGTGCTGGAGTGACAAAACATATGGCTTAGGGTAACAGATAACGTGCAATTTTCCAAATTATTTGAATTGCCAAACATAACGTGCAAATAACATTTAGAAAAGGTACGTGTTTTATTGGGGGGAGGTCAGGGGCTTCAGAGGGGATGGTCATCAGTAAACATTTAAAGGTAAAACCTTTTTATTTTAACGAAAGCTTTTGCTTGCTGACTTAATAGTAAGGCCATAATTTTTTTTCGAAGTGAAAGGCGGAGGGCTAAAAAAAAAAAATTCAAAAAGTTTACTGCAATTCCCCCAGYTCTCCCCTCCCACCTTCCTTTACATGATTAAAATTTTGAAASTAATTCTTGTTTTTACCTTTCAGGCATTAACGTCAGACTGTCGTACTCTTCGAGGAATTTCGATCCTTAATTCACCCTTCTTGTCTGATACGGCCTTCAAATGTCTGGCAACYTGTAGGCGAATGAACAGAATCCGTATAGAAGGTAAATGATCACTTTAGTGACTATATATTGAGCCCAAACAACACGGTCCCACTGTATATATAAATAGGGACCTTAAGCTGCAGGACGGCAACGACGAAGTCGACGGCAAACATACAATAGCTTTAAKTGCGCTATTCAATAGATACTCGTTGGAATGTACGAAACACTGTGCATCATTACCGTCTTATGCTAAAAGTAAGACGTGAAATGTCCTATTTTTACGTACTATAGAGAACGGCCACGCCAAAAGCTTATCTTTGCTGATTTTCGTTATAAGTAAAGCGTTCCCAAAACACATCATTTCACTCTAAAACGAGGGTTCTTAWTGAGTAAAATACTAGTTAAACACGAAATAATAATACAATAGAAGGTYGAAGCGCCTCAATTTCGCCGACGTTGTCGCCCACGTTGCCGTCCTGCAGCTTAAGGTCCCTAATGTCTATGAAAAGACGGTCTGATATCCATATTAAATAGCCATGGCAATGGCGCACACGTCCACCTCTCTTTATTGGCCATTGCTGCTTTCGGGAGTTCAAAAAATCTAAACAWGTATGTGACTTCACGTGTGTCATGTTATGCAATTCTGGAGTGCTTGACGTCTCTTGTGTAGAAATGTGGAGTGGTCAAGCATCAGCTAGCATCCAGTTTCAAATCATATAATTGACTTTTTACAAAATATGCCGAGAAAAAACTTTAATTGACAGTGCGTACACACTAACCTGGACCACTAGTTTGTCCGCTAACTACATAGGTGGTTAAATAATGTAGTTACTGATTTCTAAGTGTTCCTTGAGCGCTATCAACATGTATTAGTTTTTGATTCTTTTTATTATGCTGTAGGAAATAATCGTATCACAGATGCATCGGTCAAAGTGCTGGCAAAGAGTTGTCCTTTGTTAGACCATGTGTACCTTGTAGACTGTCCTCGACTGACTGATCTGTCACTCAAAGCTTTAGCATGCTGTAAACACTTGCATGTCATTAATGTGGCTGACTGCGTAAGGTAACKTACCTGAAAGTGACCGTCCCTCAAATTCTCCTTTTTTCCATTTTTTTGGGCTACCTGTGGATTTGGCGGGAATTTTCGCGACACGACGCGTGTTCCAACTCTTGTATTTCTGCTACGTCACTAAGCCTATAATAGCTGCCTTCTAGTTGTCGTAATAACCAAATTTATCATATAA